CGCCGCGGGCGCCGCGGGCAACGGCGGCGCGGGCGGCGGCAACGGCGGCAAGTCCAAGAGCTACTCGGCGTCGCGGCAGCCGCCGCGCTCCACCAACACGCCCAAGTGCCAGAGCAGCTACACGCCCAGCACGCCCAAGCCCAGCTCCGTCATCGCCAGCCAGTCGCCCGCCTACTCGCCGGGCCAGCCGCCCCAGAGCCTGCTGGCCATGGGGGGAGCGCCCGGCTACAGCGCGCCCGGGGCGCCCCAGAGCCTGCCGGGGGCGGCGCAGCCCGCGGGGGGCTTCAGCGGAGGGCAGGCCGGGGACCTGGGGGGCAAAGGCGGCGGCTACCAGGGCGGGGGGCAAGGCGGCGGGCAAGGGGGGCTGCAGCCCTGCGTCAGCGGCGCGGGCGCCTACTCGCCCGAGCAGCTGCAGGCGCTGCCCTACGGCGTCCAGCCCGAGGGGGGACAAGCGGGGGGCTACGGGCCGCCGGCCCCCTCGCAGGGCTTGCCCACCGCCAGCCCCTCGCTGACCTACAGCACCGGGCACTCGCCCGCCATGCCGGGGCCGCCGCTGCCCTACGCCGGCCTGGGGGGCTCCAGCCCCTCGCCCATCATCCGCCCGCTGCAGTCGCCGCCGGCCGCCCGGCCGCAGAGCGGGGCGTCGCCGGGCCAGTCGCAGAAGTACCTGGGCTCCGTGCTCTCGCCGTCCTTCATGGCCCCGCAGGGCTACGGCGCCGCGCCGGGCGGGGGGCTCGAGCGGCAGCCGCCCCCCGCCCCGCCGGGGGCGCCCCCCAATTTCGGCAAGGGGGCCAAAGGCGAGGCGGAGCTGCTGGCGGCGGAGCGCAGCGAGGACGAGGATTTCCTGATCCAGCACCTGCTGCAGGCGCCCAGCCCGCCCCGAGAGGGGCTGGGGGGCTGCGAGGAGCGCCCCAAAACTCTGGGGGGCTACGGGGGGGCGCTGGGCAAGGAGGAGCGCTACCAGCTGCAGAGCGTCATCCGGCCCAACTCCAACCTGGAGGCGCCGCTGGAGCTGGCGCTGCTCAAGGAGAAGAAGAAGCCGGAGAGAGGCAAAGAATTCCGGGGGGCTGGCGGAGGAGGAGGGGGCGGCGAGGTGGCGGCCACCTCGGTGGTGCACTACGGCCACCAGCCGCCGCCCGCGCTCGACACGTACGAGCTGAAGAAGCCGCCCGAGCACCTGGCCGGCGGCAAGGAGCTGGGCCAGCCGCCGCACTCGTACCTGCCCAAAACCCCCGAGCACGGGCGGCTGGTGGGCGAGGGACCCCCGCTGGAGCCCCACAACCTCCTGCTGGACCCCTCCCCGGAGTTGGGGGGCTCGCTGCTGCCCTCGGTGCTGACGCACACGCAGAGCCAGCTGCACCCGCGGCCCAAGGCGAGAGCGCCGCTGGACGTTCACCTGCTGGAGCAGCAGAGGATGCCGCCGCCGCCCCCGCCGCCGCCCCCC